CCCCCCCCCCCCCCCCATGATGCCAGGGACCCCTCTCCTCACCAATGAACTAGCTGGTGTACAAGCACGTGATCCTGCCCAGGGCGCCCCATGCAGACCTTGTCTGCTTTGATTGACAAGGTGGCGCCTCTGCAATGTTGAAAACACTCTTGGCTAAACACTAAAAAAGAAAAAAATTACCTGGATCCCTCTTGTTATTAAAAGTTATTTTTGCTTTTGCATATTTGCTGTCTTTTTTTTTTTTTAATCACATGTGGGCCTATTTTTCCTTTGTACACAGTTTCCCTTATGATGTACACACCATTTTCTCTTCTGTTTTGTTCCCCTGGTAATGTAGTCTATAATGCTCATTTTTCAATGTAAGCTCCAAAATAATCACTATTTTAAAATTATGTCCAGTATTCCATTGATTAGATGTAGCAAAATGTATTAAAATATTTCCCTGCTGCCGAGGTGCATGTACGTTGCCTCCTCTGGTCCCAATGGTATAAGACATTCTAATGGGAGTTTTATGCATATAACTTTTGTCATCTATCGAATTATTTCCTCAGAAAACTTACCGGGAATGGGAATGGTTATGAGCAGTTTCATTGCAATATGCAGTTAGTAGTAAGTGTGGGGTCCCAGTGACGGGGTTAAAAACCCAGGTTTGGCACTGGCCAGCTGTGTGACCTGGGACAAACTTCTTAATCTAAGTCTCAATTTCCCCAAATGTAAAACAAGGCTGAGATGTAATATTCAGCCCATAGGGTTGTAGTGAAAAGTGAATAAAATCATTGAATGAAATTAAATAATTGCTATCTCATGGACCTTAGCTATTACTAGTACTAGCTCCATTGACTGTAACTGCCACTAACAGGATTTTTCTGTTCCTTTAGACTATACTGATTCAACACCCTGTGACTGAAACCCAAATATTTTTCTAGAAGCAAACGCAGGCTGGTTTGCAGTCATCCACAGGTCAATGATTTTAGAACTCTCACCCACGTCACCCACTGCCTTCACAAAACTACCATACATCTTGAGTCTGACATTGGTCATCTTTCGGTTCTTACTTGGTCTCTTGTAAGGTTCTTTAAAGGCCTTTGTGGGACCCCGGCTTCTTAACTTTGGACACCACACTCCAGATCACATCAGACATGTTTAAACCACCCCTTCTCCATCCTGCAGGAAATATAATTATACTAGAGGCCCGGTACACAAAATTTGTGCACAAGGGGGTCCCTCAGCCCAGCCTGCATCCTCTCCAATCTGGGACCCCTCGGAGGATGTCTGATTGCCTTTTGCAATCTGGGACGGCTGGCTCTTAACCACTCGCCTGCCTGCCTGATCACCCCTAACCCCTTTGACTGCCTGCCTGAACACCCCTAACAGCTCCCCTGCTGATCTGATCGCCCCTAACCGCCTCTGCCTCGCCCCACACCCAGAACCCAGGATTCCCTCCTCTGGCCAGTCACAGGCACCTGGGACCCAGGCTTCCCTCCCTCTGGCTGGCCGCAGGCACCCAGGACCCGGGCCGGCTTTGCCATGGGCCGGTGGCTTCGCCCAGGCTGCAGGCGCAGCTGCTGGCGCAGGACCACGCGGGGCGGGTGGTTATCCCTCTCCCGGGCCTCAGCCTGGCTGGTCCCCATTCCCCTCTCCCTGGTGTTGAGTGTCTGAGCCGTTATGGCATGACGGCATGATGACCATTTGCATATTAGCTCTTTATTATATAGGATAGGAGCATCGAGCCATATAGGAGCATGGAGGAGTAGATATAACCTGATGTTTTATGTTAAACTAAATACTTCCTGATTTTGTTTTTGTGGTTTGGGTTAAGGTTTAGGGTCTCAATGGATAATGCTTTCCACCTTCCTTCCTGAGTTCAAAACAAATTAAGAAACACATTCAGAAGCCAGAGAGATGGAGATTAAGACACTAGCTTCATTACTAGGAAAAGCTGAAGAAAGGAATATGGCTCAAATATGTAGCCATAGGAAACTTTCTAATATTGCTCCTTGAAGTGAACTTGAAGTACACACCTCCCCCACCATCCCCCCAAAAAAACCCATCAGGCCTCCCCTACTTTCCACAGAGTGTGTGGTAGCCCAGAATGGACTTTCTATTGCTGCAGGTGGGTATATCTGAAACAGAGGGAGAGGAAAGAGCTGAGGGGGAGAATGCTCAATTTTTTTCAACTCACTGTCCAAAAAAAGGGTGGGGGGGAGTAAAAGGATGATTAGAGAAGTGAGAAGTACTTTGTGTTTTTTAAAAATATATATTTTTTTATTGGTTTCAGAAAGGAAGGGAGAGGGAGATAGAGACATCAATGATGAGAGGGAATCATTCATCAGCTGTGTCCTGCACATCCCACACCGGGGGGTTTCAGAAAGGAAGGGAGAGGGAGATAGAGACATCACTGATGAGAGGGAATCATTCATCGGCTGTGTCCTGCACATCCCACACTGGGAATAGAGCCCACAACCTGGGCATGTGTCCTGACCTGGAATCAAACTGTGACCTCTGGTTCATAGGTTGATGCTCAACCACTGAGCCATGCCGGCCGGGCTGAGAAGTACTTTAAGGGCAGGGAATGAGAGGTTTCTTCCTGGACCCAGTATTTGATCCCACGCTGACCTGCTTGATGGACATGATGGCAGTAGGTTCAGCCTCAGCATTTTGGCCTTGTGCTGTCTCACAGTCACGGTGAGACCCTCTCTCTCCTTCCTTCTCTCCTGGCCTCCCCTATGGCCCCCAGCCAGTTCCTCTTCCTGGGCTCTGACATTTACAGCTCTTCAATCATGTTTTCACAATGCGTTCATGTCAATTCATAATTCCACCCATCATAACACTCAACAAACAGAAGAAAACAAAAATCCCAATTAGAATTGGGCCAAGCAATCAGAAAATGTATTATTTTACATCGCAAGAAGGGAAAATCCTACTGTGGTATAATCAGTGACTCAGTGATATTGAACCCAGGCCCTTTCTGTCCTTCTGCTAGGTCAACTGCCTCTTGGCTTCATCCTAAAACTGGTCCCACTGTGGTCTTAAAATAGATGTTGCAATTCCAGGCATCCCGCCCAGGAACCACCTCACTCAGAAAAAGAAAAGGGGGCCATCGTGTCTCTGCTTTACCTTTTATAAAGTAAAGAAATCTTTCCTAAAATCCCCCTCACACTGTGTTGGCCTAAATCTCTGAGCTGGAGAATATAATCACCATTACTGTCTCAGACCTAGTCATGGAATTCTGAGTTGGGAGGGTGGAAACCCTCACAAAACCAGGGCTCGACAAAAGGCACAGAGAGGGTGGATGTTGGGTGGGCAGCCAGCCACGCCTGCTGTGCCTCAGGAGGCATTTTGTTCAGTGGTTATGATTTTAAAGAACCTCTCCTTCTGCTTCTGTGTTTTCATCTCTGCACTTCAATTTCCTCATCCGCCTTCTGTACCTTGCGAGGCTGCTGTGATGAACAAGTGAGATAACATGTAAACCTCGAAGTGCTGTGTAAACCTTGCATCTGATGAGCATCTTTTCACATATTTGCTGTTTTCATCTGCTTGAATTTTCTTTTCTTTTTTTTATACTAACAGATCATGAGCTTCCCCCAACACTGCTGAGGTGCGACTCGTTCCAGGCTTGAGCAGTTGTTTGCAAAAGCGAGGTAGCCCTCTTGAGACCCAAGGTGCAAACATCTCATTGTTGGGAAAGGAGTTCCTCTTTGACATTCAAATATAATGAAGAAAAAAAAGGGAATAAAAATTCCAGCAGATTAAAACAGCAAACATATGAAAAGATGCTCAAGGTCACTAATCATTTGGGAAATGCAAATCAAAACCACAGTGAGATGTCACCTCACGTCCATCAGAACCATTATGATAACACTGTCAAGGAGTGGAGATATCACAACCTCTGTGCACTGTTGGTGGGGAGGGAAAAGGATACAGTCATAAATGAAAACAGTATGGTGGTTCCTCAAAAAGGTCTACGTAGAATTACCACGTGATCTACTAATTCCACTTCTGGGTATGTAGACAAAAGAATGGAAAGCGAGGTCTTGAAGAGATATTTGCACAGCCGTATTCATCGCAGGATTATTCACAGTAGTTCAAAGGCGGAAGCGACCCAGTGTCCATTGGAGGGTGAGTGGTTAAGCGAAAGGTGGTGTATATGTGCAATGGAACAATGATCAGCCTTAAAAAGAAAGAAAAGCTGTCGAATGAACCCTGAGGACATTATGCTCAGTGAAATAAGGTAGTCACAAAGAGACAAGTACTGTATGAGTCCCCTCATTCGAGGTATCTAGAGTAGTCAAATTCATAGAGACCAAAAATAGAATGGTGGTTTCCAGGCCCTGGAGGGGGTGGGGGTGGGGGGGAATGCGGAGCTGTTGTTTCGAGGGTGAAGAGTTTAAGTTTAACAAGACAGGAAATTTCTGGAGCTGGCTGCTGGTGATGGTTGACCACTGTGAATGCACTTAATGCCATTGAATGGTACACTTAGAATAGGTTGAGATGGTAAATTTTTTTGTTATGCATCTTTTACCACAATAAAATTTTTAAAAAATTAAAGTTTGATCATATGCAATGCTGGATAGTATGGAGTGAAACAGGCACCCACCTCCCTCCCATAAACAGTAAATGGGACTTTAAGTTGGGCTTATTTTTTTGTGGTTGGTGATTGGGTAATATCTATCCACATGAAAGGCAGAGAAGGGAGGAGGGCTATTGGACCTAAAAAGAAGAAGCATATGCAATAGGACCAGAGGGGACTCCGAGAGCAGGGGTTGAGTCAATGCCCAGCAGGCACCATTTGCAGTCAGCATGGGAGAGTGAGCAAACCATCCCTTGCCAGTTGAGTGAATACTGAGCCTTTCCGGTGCTGAGGGCCTCGGTTAGCTGTCTCTCTCCTGGCTGTCAGGTAAAGGCCTCTTCCCTTCACTCACTGATCACCTTGGGAGAACTGCTGTGCCTGGAGATTCTGCTAAGCTGCCCTTTCCCACCCACAATAGGCAGGGTTGGCTAAGTAGCAAACAACCTTAACATTTTAGTGGCTTAACCCTGCAGAACTTCCTTTCCTCCTTTCTTCCTTTTCTTTCTTTTCTTTCTTTCTTTCTTTCTTTCTTTCTTTCTTTCTTTCTTTCTTTCTTTCTTTTTCTTTCTAGTTTCAACGCAGATGTTCCTGGCCAAGCAGCATTCCTGGGCAGTCCTCCTTCCAAGCCATGACTCGAGGATGCAGGTTTCTTCCATCTGGTGGCTTTGCCATGCCCCAAGTCCCCCTCATGTTCTTCCCTGGGACCTCTGCATCTAGCCAAACAGCAAGTCAGAAGAGAGATCAGGGGAAATGGCACAGGCCATTCCAAGGCCAGGCATGGAGGTAGCATACCCCATTGCCACTCACATTCTGCAGACAAGAGCTGGTCACATGGCAGCACCTGGATGCAAGGGGTGCAAGAAAAGCAGTCGGTCTTGTTGGGTGTCCGTGGAGAAAATGAGATGGTTGGTGAAGACATACCAATGTGTCTGTGACAGTACCTACACGGACAACCCCCCATATAACAACCTGGAATATGTAAGCCCACTGAACCAGGGAGTAACTCAGTACCTGGAAGAAGAGTGGTGATAAGTAAGACACCCCTCCCTGCCCCTCCTCCCCTCCCCAGCCCATACGTGGTTGGGCTTGTAGAGAACAGTCTCTAGATACTCCTACTCCAACCCCAACTGCCACTTCTGTTTTATTAATTTATAACCACAGAAAAAAATGAAGACATCAAAACCTACCTTCCTCCTCTTCCGCCTACCAGAATTTAATTACTGAGACCACATTTCCCAACAGTTACAACACTGCAGTGGCTAGAGGAGCTGAGAAACGGATGCCTGGCACCTGGTTGGCCCTCTCCATGGAAGAATCCCCCCACCCCCACCTATCCAAATTCTACCCATCCACCCGGGCACATCACAAGACCTAAGGACCCTTTCCTCGACTCTCAGCCCATAGAGATCATAACCCTTTCTTACAGAACAATGATTATTATTGTACCATCGTTTGAGATTTAGTGATCATTTGTATTGAATTCCACATCTGAATGCAGCAAATGTCTGCCAAGACACCTTGTTTCAGACGAAGGGATTCAGAGATGATAAGAGGAAAGACAGCCTCTGTGGAATATGCAATCCAGCGGGAGAGGCAAACGAGCACACTGGGAAGCTGACTGTTCTGGGGCTGTCAGGCGAAGAGATATGGAGCATCTTGGAGACCCCAGAAGGAAGAGCACCCTTCAGAATGAGAGGATGAGCTGGTGCTTTCGGATCTGGACTTTGAAGTGTGCAAAGGACTTAAACCAGTGGAGTCTGGGGGCAAGCATTCCAGCCGAAGACACGGAGGAGCAAAGACACCAGGGTAGGAACCTGTGGGGAAGTTTCAGAACAGGCACGTGTTTCTGTGTGGCCAGAGATCAAGCTGGAAAGGTGGGTGTATCAGGGTTCTTGAGCTGCAAGTAATGAAAGTATGTTTCAAACTGGCTTAGGCAATAAAAATAAGTGTATCATGCACTGGAGGTCCCGAGGCAGGGGAACTCCAGGAGCAACTTGGTCAAGTTCCTCTCTTGGATTTCCTCTGCTCCCTGTTCACACCACCCTCACGCTGGCCATCCACGTGGTTATGGAATGGCTAACTGCATCGAGGGCATAGGAAAAATATAGCTTTGCTCTCTTACCTGTCCTGAGCAAACCGCTACCCAGATCCCATGGATACTAAATGGCTTAGAACTTCCCATTCCTGACCCAATCGATGACAGTGGAACTGCCATGAATGGTACAAAGTAACTGCCTGAGCAAAATGCAAGGGAGGGAGCCAACCACAGTGACTCCTGTAGTAAGTAAGCTTGGGCCAGACTGTGGACATTCTTGAATCTCAGCCTCTAGAATCTGTATCTACACTAATAAAAGAGAAACATGCAAATTGGTGTCACTCCGCTATGCCCACCAGCCAATCAGAGAGACTATGCAAATTAACCCAACAAAGATGGCAGTTAATTTGCATACACAGGCACGGAGCAAAGACTGAAGGCTCCGGCTGGAGTAGACTGAAGACTGAAGAGGCTTGGCTTCTCCGCTGCGGCTGGACAAAAGGCCTGGGTCCCGAGTGCCGGAGGAAAACCGGTGCCAGCAGCCAGGGGAAGGAAGACCTATTGAGCGAATTTTCATGCGGGCTTCTAGTCTAAAAAGAAAAGGCCTGGGGAGCCATTGATTGCTTTTCAGCAGGAGAGTAGACAAAACTGAGTGGAGGGCATGATTATTGCGATGGTTTGGTCAGAAATAACCAAGCAGGGGGAATGGATGTGGAATTAACATGTGCCCACTGTCACCACGTCTTCTTCCCACATCAGAAATGGCTCCCAGGAGAGGAGCTGCTATTCTCATTCACATCCTGCAGGAATGCCTGCTGAGACATAACACCAGGGGGCCAGGAAAAGAGAGTTTTCATGGAGAAACATTCCAGACAGGACTTACAGGATGATTGGAGATGGGGGAATTAAACATGATTCTGAAGTTGTAAATTTGGGTGACCTACACATGTATGTAGTGTCATGAATAGAAATATAGTCATCTAGGAGTGTCAGTGAGGTGATTTTGAATCCATAAATCAGATGCATGATGAATAGTTCTGAAAATAATAATGAAATGATACTTATAATGAAGTAATAATAATTAGTAATGTAAATGAGCATATATTGAGCAGTTAATATGTGTCAATATTTACTAAGATACTTACTGTTGCTCTGATACATGTGTATGCATTCATTTACTTCTTGCAACAATCGTATTATTATGCCCATTTTGCAGAGGAAGAAACTGAGGCACAGAATGGTAAACATAAATAATCCAAGCTCATGTAGCTGGTAAGTAGACAAGGTAGAACTAAACCCAGGCAGTCTGACTCAGGACTCTGTTCTTTCAGTCATTATAACAAGAGCTAATATTTATTATGTGACAGTACTTTATATACATTCTCTTTAATCCCCAAGAGTCAACCTGTAACATGGATAGTATTATCCCTGTGTTATAGATGCGGAACCTGGAGCACAGAAAGGATGAGCAACTTGCCCAAAGACACACACTTTCAAGTGGCAGAGGTGAGATCCACATGGCAGGAGGCACAGCTGTAAGACATGCCCTTTCCATGATGCCATGGAAGACAAGGGCATCCTAGTACCAGAGGCTCTAGATCAGTGATGGCGAACCTTTTGAGCTCGGCGTGTCAGCATTTTGAAAAACCCTAACTTAACTCTGGTGCCGTGTCACATATAGAAATTTTTTGATATTTGCAACCATAGTAAAACAAAGACTTATATTTTTGATATTTATTTTATATATTTAAATGCCATATAACAAAGAAAAATCAACCAAAAAAAATGAGTTCGCGTGTCACCTCTGACAAGCGTGTCATAGGTTCGCCATCACTGCCCTAG